TGTTTCCAGTTTATATATATTTTTTTATATAAACTGGAAACAACAGACAATAATTTTATAAATGAGGATCACATCACTCTATGGATTAACAGTATTTTAATGCATACATTATACACTACTAGCAATGGATGTCGCCAATAATAGTATTAATATTGCTGATTGATTCTATGTGTGAATATTTCTTTGTATATAAATTATATGCTGCCTAATGTTTTATGTCTATATATATATATATATATATATATATATATATATATAGAGAGAGAGAGAGAGAGAGAGAGAGAGAGAGACGCTATCGTCAGGCGTCGTGACGATAGCGTCTAGCCTGTCGCCTCTGAGTTTTGTATTTAATGTTCACTTTTCTTTCTATCTATCTATCTATCTATCTATCTATCTATCTATCTATCTATCTCTCTCTCTCTCTCTATATATATATATATATATATATATATATATATATATATATATATATATATATATATATATAGTAGTGTATTGGGGCAGCAGATTATTATTCAATCATATTATTGTTAGTATAACAGACAGGGAATGTCTATTATGTTTGCTAATGAGCCGTTGTAACCTTCGTATAGTTGCTTTAATTTCGGGCGAAATTAAAGAACAAAATTGTCCAACATTTAGATATTTTTATTATGCTGTTCATTGATCCAAACCTTTCGGCTCACATGTGTTATCTTCAGAGTGTTTACATGGACATTTAAACAAAGATATTCACCATCAATGATGACATTCCGTTGACATAGAAGATTGCTATGCGACGATAACGGTCGCGGTATAACAGATGCAGGTTGTAAATCACTGATGCCGTTCTATTCCTATGTACATAATGTTAGATATTATTTGATAAAACAAAAATACTAACACATACACACAGTAAAAAGTACCTTCAGTTATTGGAGCCATCTACACACACACACACACATATATATATATATATATATATCAAATATAGTTCAATTTATATTACATGAATCATTCATACAAAAAGATTAGTGAATCTTTTTTTTATGATTCATGTAATATATATATATATATATATATATATATATATATATATATATATATTAATAATAGAAATCTTATAAGTATAAGAAACTCTACTCGTTCGGAAAACATTCGCTGTCTTGGTTTGCAAATAATCAAACCAATACCAAAGGTTAAAAAACGTATAAAAAAGGAAAGAACCAAGAACTTGTACGTTAGCCGAAAATAATCGTCTAGCATGCAAGTCTAAAGCCCAAAGAAGAAAAAACCGATACGACTACGCAAAAAAACTAAATAAATTGCTATAAACCATAAAGTATACATAGGATCTACTCAAAATATGTTTAAAAAACGATATTACAACCATATGAATAGATTTAATAATGAAAAAACCAAACATAGCACTGGACTATCTACCTATATATGGAAATTTAGACGTGACAGTAATAAAGATACCATCCTGAAATGGAAGATATTAAAAAGATGTTCCAAATATAGAAAAGTTATATATTTTGTAAACTAGATCTAGAGATAAAAGTAACTATAGCTCTATATAGGGAACCTAATCATTTAAAACGGAAATTCTAAACAAATGTAGACATAGAAAACGTTGGTTGTTAGACTAGATCTCCTCCTCCCCCCAGTAATTAATTTTATATTATTTATATTGTTATTTATTTATTTTTATTTATTTATTTTTATTTTTATTTATTTTTTTTTATTTTATTTGTTTTATTTTATTTTTTTATTCAATAAATAGTTACTACACCTGCTTATCCTTGTTTCTCTTTAAACCCCCTCCCTCTTTCGTCATTTTTAAAAATAATGGCTCTCCCCACCCATCCCCGTTTGTAGGTTTGTCTGGCTCTCTAGGTTTAACTATATATATATATATATATATATATATATATATATATATATATATATACACACACACACACACATATATATATATATATATATATATATATATATATATATATATATATATATATATATATATATATATATATATATATATATATATTAGTGGAAAATATACATACATATGCAAAATATATAAATACCCATACATGTATATTTAGAGAAAAAAAAAAAAATCCAAGTGGAAGAATCCAGGTAGAACTCAATGTCTAGGACAGAGTAAGGATATAGTAAAAAGGCTTAAACACTAATATTCCATGGTCATAATTTATTCCATTGGAATCGTAAATACGATCCAATTCATCAGACCTACAAATTCAATATATAAAATACGAGAAAAGAAATATTGTGGAACTGCTATGCCTAAATTAGAGTGTTATATTGAAGCATTTGTTTGGTATTTTTTTTTTTTAAATTTATGAAGTGCAGTTGAGTCCATAGGTAATTGAATCTATAGGTACACATTGGTTTTAGTCTATACTCGACTATATAGGTAAATGTTTAACGAATTTAAAATTTGTTCTACACGCAACTATTTGACAGGGCCAACACTTTAGTCTGTAGGCAAATATTGGCCCGGTTTATGAGACAATATGCAGATATTGAGACTTGAGACAATATGCAGATATTACTTGGGTTTATATTTTGATCTATAGGCAAAGTGGTATTATTTTAATCCATGGTTATATATATATATATATATATATATATATATATATATATATATATATATATATATGTACAAAAATTAAAACACTATATCCTAACGCACTACCTTGGTTTCGATAGTGCAGCATTGTTTTATCTTTTGTGTATTGGCTTGTTCGGCATGTTTGTTTTTTGAGCAATATATTGAGTACTTTTATATGTCCCTTTATTTTGCCAACGTAATTTTTCCGGGCTTCACACACACACACACACACACACACACACACACACACATATATATATATATATATATATATATATATATATATGTGTGTGTGTCTGTGTGCGTGCGTGCGCGCGTGTGTGCGTGCTTCTATGGATTTCTGTCATTATTTATATCTTCAATATTGGACAGAGCTACGAATATTTTTTTTATTACATTCATTAATCTCCGCTCAGTAATTATATCAGAATACATGACACAAAAGATAAGCTTTGTTTTTTGTTTGTTTGTTTTTCCTGTTAAACACCGTGGCATACCAGCAACGAGACACACATTCAAAATATTTCGCAGTGGGACAGATTTAGAGGAAACATGGTCATGATAATTCCTAATAGGAATTATGAACAGATTCGAATATTCCTTTTCGATAACGACAGGCTACATCCGTATCCTAACTAATTTGTTTATTAATGAAAATATTTCCATAAAAATATTAATGTATATATATATTATTTCCTTTTAATAAAAAATACGTAAGATCATATATATATATATATATATATATATATATATATATATATATATATATATATATATATATATCTCACCAATAGCATGACTCAAGCAAAATTTTATTAATTCTCTCATATTGGATCACTATTTTATTAACATCACTACTCAAAGTGCGATATTATGTATTCAGTCGTGTATATATATATATATATATATATATATATATATATATATATATATATATATATATGAATGTCAGTGTGTTACACTTTTTCAACTTTACTCCTCGTGGCCGTAGCTGAACATATCATACTATGAGTGTGTGTATGTGTGTGTGTACATTTTAAGTAACTACATGGTCAATTATATATTTATACATAAGGAAGAGTGTTACTAATGATTTCCATGTTTGATTTCTCAATTAATATTTAATTTTCACCCAGTATAAGCCACAAGTGCCACTGTAGTAGAGTAAAAATTGTGATGCTAAATGATATGAACGATAGGATCTGAATAAAAGCTGTGCGATAGGGTTTATTATGTGGTTAAGAAAGAACGGCGTGGACTGATTCGGGATTTGAAGAAATCAAGACTGAAACACCGTGAGAAGTACATACTTCTGAGTGATATATATATATGAAAATCTATATTTCTGATATGAGGTATTATGCACACTATTTACATTATTCGGACTATTGTCCTCATCTTTGTCACCATATTTATTACAACGTGTCGGCCGTTTACGCTCCGGGCTTCTTCAGGTGGTTGGGATGTCGAACTGAACCCTTTATTTCGCTCACTGGGGTAGACTGTTCTAGCTCCACGAGCCATGTTTAATGCATGTCAGTTATTAGTTATCTCTTGTTAATTTCCCTCTCAAAGGTCTCCACTGCCTTCACCGGGTATTGAACTCACATTATTTGGGTCCTGTCACTGGATCTAACCAACGCCTTTATCCTTACCTGTGCGATGTGTCCTTGAGGACTCACATCCGAGAATAATTATACATTCGTATTGCTCAAGATAGAGTCCAGTAGTCTTATAAAAACCTCGGAGAATTCCAGTAAGATATCTTTAATCATTTCTCAGATACAACGGTTCAGAGCTTAATCTAACAATTTTGCTGTTACTCGATTTGGACATTTTTGCTGCTACACCCGTTATATACTAATAATTTTATCACACTAATGTACGTGCATCTATCTATCTATCTATCTATCTATCTACATATATATATATATATATATATATATATATATATAAAATGCACACATCCGGGTGATTATAGGTTACCTGATTCGTTTTAGAAAACAGCCAGCATTTGTGTGTGTTTGTACCTGTATATATATATATATATATATATATATATATATATATATATATATATATATATATATATTCACAGCCATATTCCTATATGTGTATTTACACACTCAGGTATATGCGTTCATATCTATTGTTATATATACATATATAGAGAAAATCACATGATACAACTATGCATACATACATACACACACACACACACGCACACACACATATATATATATATATATATATATACACATACTCATATCTATCTATATCTTTATACATATATATATATATATATATATATATATATATATATGAATGTCTGTATGTATGTATTTATGTAAATGCTTGATAAGGCGAAGTGACGCGTATAATGGGCTCCGATCAAGTCAGTTCAAACAACATCAACAAGCGATTTAATGAGCGATATTTTAGTAGGCGCTTTCAAAATCTCATTACTTGCTCCGAAACCGACCATCTCTTTCGCTTGTCCGGTCGGCCGGCTGGCCAATTTGCTCTGGCCAGTAACGGTGCCGGGGCTAAGAGAAGCTTAGGCACCTCTATTGGATTAAGCCAATTGCCAGTTGATGAATCCCTTCAGCGGTTTGTAAATGGAAATCAACCGGCGCTTCGGCAAGTAACGAACCTACTTTGAATTGTTTCAAAGTGTTTGAAACCGTCTACTCTCCTATTTGTGTTCACCACAGCTGGAGGACATATTCGAACCAGATCATTGTTTCCACTTCGCGTCTGCGCACGCGCACACACGCGTCTGCGCACGCGCACACATAAACACACACACACAATCGTAGGTAAACATATGTATATATGTATATATAACGCCTATATAGATATATCGATGCTTTTTTTATTTATCTGTAGTGCAGCTTTCACTTGTTTTATACAATGTATAAGTAAATACTAATTGGAATCTAAATGTTTGTATGCTGGACTGTGACTCATCTATACCTACGTCGTTATGATGTAAACTAGTAGGTTATGTTCGTATGAAACAAACAGCTGAGAATTTCAAAGTCTGGAATTAATAGCAGAGACTGAAACTTTAAAAGGGGTTCTTCGTTTTCTAGGTGCCGTGTTCCTTCAGGTCGTTGGCGATATTGACTGGCACTTTCAGTACTTTTCTTTGTTTCTAACGGTTAGAAAGGTTATTTTTGCATAAAGATATATTTTTATAACTCCATTACTTGGAAATTGCAAAAGTGACCGATAAATACCGAACTTTTAAAAAGAAAAAATATCCCACACGATTCTGTTCTAGGTGTGGTGATCTGTTTCGTCACTGGCTTTAGCAACTTGGACACCAATGCATCTTCATAGGTGATCTCAACAAAAGACGGTCCCTTTTTTCTTATTCGTTTTATAATACGACAGGGTAATATCTAGGAGGTAGCGAGTAGAGGAACTTCAGTGGATTGCATGGCCGTTCGTTGCCGTATTCCTGTGGCCCTTTGTCGACTTCGCGCCGTTTTGATCTCATATCCAAAAGTTAAACAAATGCAATGATCACTTTCAGAATACCATATTCTGACCAATCGCTGATAATCCTGACGGAACCTCCGCATTTTATAACAGGATTGGCATGGCCAGTTTGAGAACTTTTGCAAAGGCTCGTTTGAAGATGATGGAGGTCAGTTTGAGAAATTTGGCAAAGGAAAGTTTGAAGTTGATGGAGGTCAATTTGTGGAATTTTGCAAGAGAAAGTTTGAGGTTGATGGAGGTCAATTTGAGAAATGTTGCAATGGACAGTTTCAAGTTGGTGGACGAACACTTGCAAGCAAGGCTTATCTTTGAAATGCTATATTGAATAATGTACATTCTGCTTCATATGAAGAAATACAACTTTACAGAAATATGCCAATACAAAATTAATAGATGGAAGACATAAAAAAATTAGTCTCATTAGAAGGATTATATATATATATATATATATATATCATCAATCCTATCTTCATAATTTTGTCATTAATACTATGTCAATTTTTATTGTTTTGTCCAAATTGTTTTAAAACTATTTATATGCAGAAAACCAGAAGAGGGAACGTCAAATCTCTTATACCGAATGTTTTATGTGGCACTTTAACGAAAACTTATAAGCCACTAACTCTGGTCTGAATTTTGCAGCGAAACAAAAATTTATTACAATGATAAATAATATTTTTCATAACATCAATAATACAAATTACAATATAGGTTTTACCTAAAGTTTCCATTGAACGTCTTAAATTATGAAGACCAGCTAAAAGTTCGCTCAAATTCAAATTCGTTTTCTCTTAGGAAAAAACAATGTTCATATAAAGTAAATATTTCATTTAGGAGCACAAAGTTTTTAACAGCTTTCTTTTAGAGTAACAATTAATATGAATCAATTTCTTAGCAACTAAAGAAATTTACTTACTTTGATAACTTCACAATTCAAAATATCACTGGTTCAAATGTTTAAATTTGAAATTTGAAATTTGAAGCTAAAAAATGAATTTCGAAGCTGTGTGAGAAAAGGTTGACCTACCTCGGCAGAGCTGCTTTTCTGAACCATTTTGGCGAATGTTGAGATTTTTGAAACCGACGTCCTTAAATTTAAGATGAACTCTCACAAGTATTATGTAAATTTTAAAAAAATTCTTCTTTTTCTATTTTCTTCAGTAACAAACTAGGTTTAATCAGTCCAGTTTCCCGCGTCGTCTATTACTTTCCTCCGCAACAACAGACTTTACACTGCTGATGACAGCAGTTCGACCACGTTAACTAATCACTTGTCAGCAAACTTTAGTCTGAGCGTGGTCTACATCTTTTCCTTTGCGGTCAAAGCTTTCTCTCTTATAAAGCAAACACTGGATCAAAATTGAGTCGTGAATCAGTTCTTTAGGAGGTTATACTTTTTAAATAACATTGGTTAAAATATCGTGAGAAACCATCCAATCAGACTGCACCTGTTTTCAATTCAAATTTATCTAGTTTTTTTTTTTTTAAATTTTGTCTCGGCATTTTTTATGCATCTTTCCTGTAAGATTTGGGCCACTGAAAGTTTAAATCATCAGGCTTCATTTGGGCCAGATTTTATAAAATCAGTTTAGAGTCTATGATTTTTCACTTCAACTATTTACACATAAATTTCCATTCATTTTTTTTTGTTTGTCTCATTTTAGCGTTTTTTTAAGTAACTATGTTAGTAACATTACTAATTGTCGGATTAGTTTTTAATATGTACTTTTTTTTTATTAAAATAGTTTCTATAATACATCTTACACAATTTCTCAGCAATTTTAATATTATGTATTTTATTATAACAATTTTATTATAGTTTTGTTTTGCATACTTCATATACGTTCTGTTATTATAATTCCTATATACGACAATGTATCTTAAGGTTTCAGTCACCTGGTTAATAACAGGAAACTCTAAATATCTTTTAACATTCTTATAAATTTTATATATGAATCATACATAGTCTATGATATATTTTAAATATTATATGCACTGTCTTCTACATTAACAGTGCAAATATTTCTGTCAGTAATTTTATTGGATTTTCTATACGCTTTAAATTTGAAAAATAAACGTGGGAGATGCTATGTACAGGCTTGTTCAAATTTATTGAAACTACCGCCTTTTTCTTTCTTTCACCATACGGTCAGTTTTAGACCCACTGGAATGACAATGTGTAATCGGTTTCTATTTTCTTCCCTTAAATTAACTCATTTGCAGTGGTGTGCAGTAATATGAGTCTATTTTCAGGGTTTACGACGAAATTTGTTTGGCCTTGAAAAACATTGCGTCATTCCTGATTGTATCAGATTTTCATCACGGCCAGACACTATTGTCTCTACTGTTCATTATTTGTCCTACGACCATAGTCTGCGATGGAAGTTACCCCAAGGAAGCGTACGAAAATTGTAATACTGTATGAACGTATTGGCAAGCCTTACTAGTGAGCAAATCAAGACTGGCCCAGAAAAATTCTGTTGATTTAAATCCAATCGAAAATCTGTGGTCAGTCTGCAAGGAAAGACTTCGTCGAATGGACATACAAAGTAGTAACATGTGCAGTGGGTCATGTTTCATTGGAAAAATACGATAAAGTAAATAATAATGCAATGTTTTGTTTCAGTTAATTTGTGTTATATAATAGATGCATTAACATATGTAGTCTATGGCTTTAAAATATAACTTTACAAAATTAACAAAATCATGCATTATATAACAATCGATCAAAAAATAACTTCTAGAAATTGTGAATTTTTAAAAGAATTTCTAAAGGTTTGACTACGATATTAAATTGATTTTTGGACCCTTTTTCTCTTCATAACCTTCTGTATTAATAAGTTAAGACCTGTACAAATTATATTTTTTTTAACTGATCTGTTGCTACAACTATAAGTTTATTCTTTGTACATAGGTTTTCCTCATTTTATCTATCGTTAGTAAAACGTTTCGATCACTGTATTATCTAGCCATTTATTTCTTGTTTGTTTTTTTCTGCTTTTGTCGGATCGACATCTCTTGTTCTTAAATATTTATTCTTCCGGGTCCGTTTATATTTGTTTTACGCCAAATATTTCGGCCTTCGTAAGCTCTCTGGTGCATTGGTCAATATTTGTAGAAACATCGAAAATATATCTTTTCAACCGTGCAAAAAAGAGCATAAGGTAAAAAAAAAACTCGAACCACGTACATAACCTCGTTATAACCTCGTCATAAGATTCTCATATGGATGACATAAATGATGACCGACTCATTGATAAATACTAAAACTACAAGCTGAATACAACCGTTTTCTCGGATCAATGGCTCAAAAAATGCTTTGAGTGAATTACATCGTTAGGCCTTAGCGAGGATCCTACTTCAAACTTCGTAGACTGGCGCTATAGAATCACAAAGAACTGCTCCAAATAGCAGAATCCATATTGCTTGAGGACTTTTAAGAAAAAGCATAAATGGATAGTTCATATAACACGAAGAGAAAATAATAATAAAATCAAGATGTTCATATTCCGCATTAAATCAAACGAAAGGCTAGTGAAAGGAAACTACAATCAGTACGCGAAAGAGCAATAACAGTTATTGGAGAAGACGATTTTCTTAAAGAACTATTTTAAGAAAAAGATTTTATAAATTTCAAGCGACAATAGCAATGACTGCTTGGTCAATGGACGCCAAAGGTTTCCTTGGAAGGAAACAAATGACAACTAATTTCAGCTCGGAACTAATTTCAACCCGGAATTAATTTCACCTCATAATTAATTTAAACTCGGAACTAATTTCAACTTGGGGTAATTTTCAACACTGAACTAATTTCAAATCAGAACTAATTTTGGCTCGGAACTAATTTCAACACGGAATTAATTTCACCTCGTAATTAATTTCAACTCGGAAATAATTTCAACTCAGAATTAATTTCAACTCAGAACTAATTTCAACTCGGAACTAATTTCAACTCGACTTAAAATCAAAGTTTTCAATTTCCGTGAATTCCTAAACAAAATACAATGATTTGGTGTTAATTTTTTAATTTAGCATTAAAATCCTTAGTAGATAAGGAAATTCAGAATTCATCTTTTCTGCAACTTTCATTAATTAGTTCCGAG